ACTCATCTAAAATCTTACGTTATGTTAAAGATGATGTAACATAAACATTCAAATACTTTAACAAATAAACGGGTTCATAAACCCTTGATTATATGTTAATAGGTCCCGAAAGCTAAGGTTGTCCTTTTAATGAAGCGGTCAATGAACCATACTGTTAAAATATCATCTCTCTTGTTGATGTGCATATATTATATCATCAGTTGATCATAATGTATATAGGTCCAAAAAAAAAAACCTTCAATTCTTTTTTTTTTATATATATATATTTACATCATTGTTTTTAACGTTGTTCGGCATACCCCTAACATTCTACATTGTCAATTAGGCATGATATGGCCTAGGCAAATTTTTTTTTTTCAAACAAAAACAAATTGTTTAAACTGACCCGCCTTGTAATTTTCACTTTTAATATAAAGTTCGTGATAAACAAGCAATTTCAAACTTAGTTAAAACCAAGACATCGAATGACAACTAAAAATCAGCAAGAACATCATAGTAAGTGATCAACAAGAACATCTAGTAATGGGAGTCGAATGTTTCCAAAAACCAACAAACCCAACCTGTCGGAAGAACTGTATTCATAGCCAAATATGATGTTTACATATCTTGTCATGGAAAATATTGGAACTTATAAAACAAAACGAGAATAGATTCTTTAGAGACTGTCTGTAAATAAACTGTTTACTTGTCAATCAAAATTGAGGAGCTGCACAAACTCATTAGGAATCTTCAACATTGATTTGTGTTTGTATAACTCCTCAATTTTGATTGACTGCATGAAAAGAATTTAATCCCAAACAGAATAATTCACATGAAGATGAAAACAAAAAAACTTTAGAAATTCATTTGCTATAGGGACCTTATTTGGGGACCTAATGATATAGTTTCAATACAATCATTAGATTAGTGGTGAGTTCTAATATTAAATGAAGCTCATAACTAATCCAATTATTATATTAAATTAAGTTCAAATAACAACCTTAAATATAAAAACCATACATGAAATTCCAGTTAATTACAGTATCAAATGTCAAATCCTACCAGTAGACTTATCAACTCTACTGGTACTAACTCTACCATGAGTGTGGCAACTTATCCACAAAATCAACATGTTACTGTATATTGTAGAAGAACGAAACACCATAGAGAGGTTCAACATTGAAAACTAAATGGAAGTTTGCAAGAACAAATTTAAAATCACACCTTCCCACTTCGATCTCTATTTCCTCTGGTTCTTGGAAAAGAAACGGAGAACAACGTAGAACAAAATTCTATATAGAACAGCCCAACCCAACATTATGTAAACCTTCTCCCACTTCTTAGCTTCCTCAGTATTAATATTCAGCGCCTTCAAGATCTGAAACCCAGACACGTTATGATACTTATCAAAAGGACTCGTGGTCTGATATTGGTTCATCAAAAGCCCTTCATATGGGTATGTCATGGTCGAGATAGTGTTCATCCACTTCCAATATGGAGGAATATCATTACTGTGCAGAAAGTACCCACAAAACAAGAAGAAGAGAGCAGTGAAAGCAATTACTGCTGCATAACCTAAGATATAATTTGGCACCACTGAGCTNACTTAGTTAAAACCAAGACATCGAATGACAACTAAAAATCAGCAAGAACATCATAGTAAGTGATCAACAAGAACATCTAGTAATGGGAGTCGAATGTTTCCAAAAACCAACAAACCCAACCTGTCGGAAGAACTGTATTCATAGCCAAATATGATGTTTACATATCTTGTCATGGAAAATATTGGAACTTATAAAACAAAACGAGAATAGATTCTTTAGAGACTGTCCGTAAATAAACTGTTTACTTGTCAATCAAAATTGAGGAGCTGCACAAACTCATTGGGAATCTTCAACATTGATTTGTGTTTGTATAACTTCTCAATTTTGATTGACTGCATGAAAAGAATTTAATCTCAAACAGAATAATTCACATGAAGATGAAAACAAAAAAGCTTTAGAAATTCATTTGCTATAGGGACCTTATATGGGGACGGTTTCAATACAATCATTAAATTAGTGGTGAGTTCTAATATTAAATGAAGCTCATAACTAATCCAATAGTTATATTAAATTAAGTTCAAATAACAACCTTAAATATAAAAACCATACATGAAATTCCAGTTAATTACAGTATCAAATGTCAAATCCTACCAGTAGACTTATCAACTCTACTGGTACTAACTCTACCATGAGTGTGGCAACTTATCCACAAAATCAACATGTTACTGTATATTGTAGAAGAACGAAACACCATAGAGAGGTTCAACATTGAAAACTAAATGGAAGTTTGCAAGAACAAATTTAAAATCACACCTTCCCACTTCGATCTCTATTTCCTCTGGTTCTTGGAAAAGAAACGGAGAACAACGTAGAACAAAATTCTATATAGAACAGCCCAACCCAACATTATGTAAACCTTCTCCCACTTCTTAGCTTCCTCAGTATTAATATTCAGCGCCTTCAAGATCTGAAACCCAGACACGTTATGATACTTATCAAAAGGACTCGTGGTCTGATATTGGTTCATCAAAAGCCCTTCATATGGGTATGTCATGGTCGAGATAGTGTTCATCCACTTCCAATATGGAGGAATATCATTACTGTGCAGAAAGTACCCACAAAACAAGAAGAAGAGAGCAGTGAAAGCAATTACTGCTGCATAACCTAAGATATAATTTGGCACCACTGAGCTTACAAACACCACGAAAGAGTTGGTGGAGATGAGAGAGACATAGAGAACAATCAAGAAATAAATGAAGGGTCCACGAAGCTTTAAGGCGTACCAGACGAGAAGGGCGTAAACTAAAGCCTGAAGAGCAAGAAAAGGAAGGTAAGTGATTAATCCGGCTATGGTGTACGATGAGGCTCTGTATGCGTTGTGGGACGTCTCGCGGATAAAGATCAAACGCTCTTGAATGAATGCGGGGACGGCATCATTAGAGGAGAAGAAGAAGAGACAGACTGTGAAGACAAAGAAACTGATGCGATTTGTGATTCCTTGGGCATCATTTGGGGGGTTTTTGAACATGGTGGCCATCATGAAGCCCATGATGATGAGGACTACTAGTCTGGAGAGGAAAAGCTCCGGCGTTCGCCGAATGTTTTTGAAGTTCCGGCGCATGAGTACCCATGTCTCGGAGAAGAAGGAATTTGTGAACTTTGGGCCGATGTGCTGGTAGGCCATGTTGGTCGCAGCATCATTGGGGGTCAGGTAGTCGTTCTCGTTGACGGTGTAGTCGCTGCTGTGAGGTGTTGGAGTTCCGGCGAGGATTTCACTGGAGTAGGTGTAGTAGCCCGGTGATGCACTGCTCAACCCCATAGAAACGAGAAAGTGAGAATAGAAGTCAGTCACTTGTTAACGATACGCGGTGATGGAAAATGCAAGTTTAAGTTAAGTTCAAATAATATTACTGATGGAAGTTTATGTTTAACAGGAGAATTAAAAAATGTAAGTTTAAGTCAAATTAAATCTTGAATTTCAGTCCCCAGTGATGCAACTGAAACTCAAGCTCAAATTGAATCCCATTTTCATCTAAATTAAATTTGCATTTCAATTCGAGTTGAGGAAATCAAAAATTCAAAATTTTACTTGAACCCGATTTTAACATGAGATTTGCAACCCAAGATGAGAATTTAAAAAATAGGTGGTGCTTTCAATTGAAAGTTTTGGGTTCGAGTCCACTTGAGTTTGAATTAACATTTTAACCAATGTACCCTACATGTATTCTGCAGAAATGAGAAATTTTTCAGTAGATTTAGCGCACTATATGGCACTAGCATGTGGTGTATATTATTAATAAAAAGTTATACATGACGAATGCATGACAAATATCTACTTGAAAGGGATGGTTTACCTAGTTGGGTTCTGAGTTCTATGATCATTCCGCTGCCTAGAAGGTGTAAACCCAAGTGTTTGCATAAAACCACTTTGGCTAGCACTCCAAGACCTTGATTGGTTCCATGGACTCCTCACACTGCGATCAAAATCTTTCTCATTCTCTGCACAAGTTTGCAAGTGAAGCCGCTTTCCGGACTTGTCTCCATGCCCATCTCCCTGATTCCGGGACCACCGAGCAGGAACCGGCGACGGAATGACAGTTGATAGAGACATCTCCTCCTCTGACAATGGTGGAGGTTTCGTTCCAGTAAGAGCAAACTCCGCCAGTGCCTCTACTCCTAGCTCAGACTGATCATATTGTTGTATCACGTCAATAAGGTACTCTATTGAATTCTCCCCCTTGGGGACTTTTCGCCCCATTCGGCCAAGATGAAGAACAACATCTTTAGGTGACCCTTGATACATAAGCTGACCACGAGCCAGGATGATCATATGGTCGAGCAACAATTGGATTCGAGATGAAGGTTGATGGATTGTGAGGATCACGGTGCTGCCAGAACGCGCAATGTCGTGCACCTTTTCGATCACACTGTGTGCACTGGTGGAGTCCAGGCCAGATGTGGGCTCGTCGAGGAAGAGGAGTGAGGGTCCATGGATGATGTCCACGCCTATTGTCACCCTTCGACGCTCGCCACCAGACACTCCTCGAGTTCCTTCGTCACCGATGTAAGTATTCCGAGATGTCTATAACCACGGCATCCAAGGATCAGAGCACAAACAAAAATGCTTGAAGTTTATTTGTGCTTCTATCAATTTTAAGCAGCATAGGAAAGTGACTTTGTAAGTTTTATTTTTGGTGTTTCCGAGCGTATTGAATATCTAATTGGTTTGGCTATGTTTCTAATTATTTTGTAGTGCTAAAATTGTCTGAATTTGAGAAACAGTTCAAGATGGAACAAATGGCTTTGATCCGACTAATGGGTGTGTCTTAGCGCAAGAAAGTAGTCCCAATGACTTTCGAAAGCTAAAAAATAACGAGACGACCCATTTGAAAGAATACAGCAAAAAAGAGCCATTGGAGNTTTCGCCCCATTCGGCCAAGATGAAGAACAACATCTTTAGGTGACCCTTGATACATAAGCTGACCACGAGCCAGGATGATCATATGGTCGAGCAACAATTGGATTCGAGATGAAGGTTGATGGATTGTGAGGATCACGGTGCTGCCAGAACGCGCAATGTCGTGCACCTTTTCGATCACACTGTGTGCACTGGTGGAGTCCAGGCCAGATGTGGGCTCGTCGAGGAAGAGGAGTGAGGGTCCATGGATGATGTCCACGCCTATTGTCACCCTTCGACGCTCGCCACCAGACACTCCTCGAGTTCCTTCGTCACCGATGTAAGTATTCCGAGATGTCTATAACCACGGCATCCAAGGATCAGAGCACAAACAAAAATGCTTGAAGTTTATTTGTGCTTCTATCAATTTTAAGCAGCATAGGAAAGTGACTTTGTAAGTTTTATTTTTGGTGTTTCCGAGCGTATTGAATATCTAATTGGTTTGGCTATGTTTCTAATTATTTTGTAGTGCTAAAATGTCTGAATTTGAGAAACTGTTCAAGATAGAACAAATGACTTTGATCCGACTAATGGGTGTGTCTTAGCGCAAGAAAGTAGTCCAAATGACTTTCGAAAGCTAAAAAATAACGAGACGACCCATTTGAAAGAATACAGCAAAAAAGAGCCATTGGAGAACCAATTTATGTGTTCTTAATTCTATGTAGTATGCAGTGAGTTTGAATTCACCTGATTAATTCTATGAAGTATTTTTTTTAGAAACAACTCTGGAGTTTTGATTCACTTACTGTCAAACCAAGCTGTTCGATCAGCTTCTCAACCCGCTGCTTCTTATCAGCCCCTGAGATTGGCCCCAAACGAAAATCAGCAGCAAACATTAAAGTCTCATAAACAGTGAGCATCGGAAAAAGCCTATCATCCTGCATTATATATGCTGAAGTCCTCTTGATCAAGCTTGGACTCGTATCGACCCCATCGAGGGATACCCGACCTTTAAGACTCCCACTGGCAATTCTTCCGGCCAACCCATCCAAGAGCGTCGACTTTCCGGCACCACTAGGACCCATAACCGCAGTTATGCACCCTTTTGGTGCATACCCAGTGATCCTGTGAAGCAAGTCCACTTCCTGCTTCACCCAATTCCCATCAGTATCTTTTTGCTTCTTTGTCACAGTGTATGTCAAGCTGGTGTATTCAAGTCCACCTGTGAACCTTACATCAATTGCTGTGTCCGGATTAGTATGACCCATCTTGAGAGAGAGAGAGAGAGAGAGAGAGAGAGAGATGGGAGGCAAAGAAGATTAATTGGTCTCTTTGGGACTCCCAAGTTGGGTAGGTGGGTAAGTGGGTAAGCGGGAGTTAAAAGGAGGGAATGTTGAGAATAAGGAATTCTACAGCTGGTGGACCATCAGAGGAGGTAGTTCCAAAGTTTGTAGGAAGATGTTTTCATTGAACAATCCGTTTTCAGACGTATTGTTCGAAAGAATATATCTCCTTCTTGTTTTCTTCATCGTGTGGTTTCAACTTTAGTGGGTGTTTTGTGTCATAATCACTGCCAACCCTTTGCCCATAACTTTGGATTTGGGTTTGTTATTTATGCAACTTGGGTGGGATATGGTCATCTAGAAGTTTATATAGAGAAAATCCAGAAAAATTCAGACGGAAGGGTGTTAAATGTAGCAATGCAATCCGCAGCTGGATCACATTCTCAACAATTTTGCTTTAGTTTACGCCAAAAAATAAAATAAAATTATACTACTTATAAATATCAGAATCTATAAAAAAAAATTTAATTTTTTATTTTATCTCTAATTATTAGTGTAAAATCAATAATGCCCACATATTATTTTCATCCAATTTTTATTTTTTATACTTATTTGATTTTTAAGTTTTTTTGAATTCTTTTATTAAATGTATTTGACTTCAAATTTCTTATTACTTTCATCCAATTTTTATTTCTTATACCTACTGCTTTCATACAGTTTTTTATGCCTACGTCTATATTTATATGAATAAATAAAANTTGACTTCAAATTTCTTATTACTTTCATCCAATTTTTATTTCTTATACCTACTGCTTGCATACAGTTTTTTATGCCTACGTCTATATTTATATGAATAAATAAAATCTAATTTCTATTCTATTATTATATACATGTAATTATCAAATTGGAATCTATGGTCAAATATATGTCATATTTAATTTTTTGGTATGCAATAATATTATAATAATATAATATGAACAATAGTGTTGCAATTTAATCAATCTCCTTGACAAAAAATTAATAAATTTATCATATAATTAAATGTGCAAATAGTTAATAATAACAATCTTACAATGAAATTTCATTATAAACAACCGAAGAAATGAATAATGGGTCGGTGATATACTTAAAGAAATGATAGATTAGATACTCAAAGAGGGGATAAAATAGATCAAATAATTAGGTTTAACAATAATTAAAATAAGAATTAATTGTTTGACACATAATTTATTATTTAATTTTTAATTACATATATAATTTAAATTTCTTATAAAAAATACTATTTAAATATGTTTACCTGCGTCTTGCTAGTAATAATCAAAAGTCATTTTGTTCGAGGATAAATTACACTTTGAAACCCTCAACTATGCCTCCTATCCTACATTGTCCCCTAAACAGTCACGTTTCGCACATCGCATTTCCAACAATTTTAGACATTGGAAATTCAATTAGTTGAGGGGTAATATAAGAAACTCGAGACTAAGTGAGACTAAAAACATAATTGAAGAGTCAAAATGTAACTGGTCTTTTGTTTTAGATTAGCTTCATAAACATGTGGCAACTACACATAAACATCATTATCATTATTATACTTTTTTCCTGCTACTTCAAGAAAGGGGTCGATTTCAACATAGTTTGCCCATGATCTTGTGCTATAGTCATTCATGTAGAAATTTTGGAGCTACTGATGTAAGCTTGCAATGGTGCTTAACACTCTCTCGGTGATTGGCTCTAGTTTTAAATTGATTTTACGTCTCAACTTCTTATGCAACAGGTTTTCCCATGTAATTTTGGCAGCACTTTAGGTTTTTTTGTCCTTATACAACCAAATTCCCCTTGATCACAAAATAACAAACAAACAAAACAAAACTTTCCTCCCACCCACCAAAGATTCTTTCGTTTATACCAACACATGTAAGGGGATGGCTGAAGTTGTATGGATTTCTAGTGTTTCAAAGGTTCAATCATGGATCACAATGATATGCTATACCTCCGTTTGTTGAATCAATGATCATACCAGTGTCATTTTCATATTTTCTCCCCCAGTATCATTCTTTTGAAATTTATTTATGAAATTACGATTGTCCCTCTAAAAGTGAGCTAATTAACCCACATTTTTTTAATTTAATGACGCATTTACAAATCACGCTTTTCTAATTTTCTATCAAAAACATGCTTTTTAATAAGATTTAAAAAACACTAATTACGAAAATAAATAAATTTATTATACGCCATCGAGCATGGAAAGTACCATTGTGCTTTTCNTTATTTATGAAATTACGATTGTCCCTCTAAAAGTGAGCTAATTAACCCACATTTTTTAATTTAATGACGCATTTACAAATCACGCTTTTCTAATTTTCTATCAAAAACATGCTTTTTATTTTGGAAAACATGGATGCACCCAAATTTTTGTAAAAACTAAAGTAATTTGGGAAATAAGTTTAAAACTATACTAGAAAGGAAATAAGATTTAAAAAACACTAATTACGAAAATAAATAAATTTATTATACGCCATCGAGCATGGAAAGTACTATTGTGCTTTTGNAAGATTTAAAAAACACTAATTACGAAAATAAATAAATTTATTATACGCCATCGAGCATGGAAAGTACCATTGTGCTTTTCATATATGGCATCTATATGCATACATGATTCAAAGTATCAGTCAATACTAGTACAACTTAATCGAATTATATCCAAGTCAATACCTTCTAAATCGGTATTGTTCCATGTTTAATATTAACCGCAAGTCTCACAAATTACTTGATTCACTTGAACCGTGAGAGACATTGCTACTAATAGCGCTACTANTAAATCGGTATTGTTCCATGTTTAATATTAACCGCAAGTCTCACAAATTACTTGATTTACTTGAACCGTGAGAGACATTGCTACTAATATCGCTATTGAACTAGTCTTTATCGTTTTGCGACACCACTATGTCATGAATCTCTCGTTATGCTTAACTTCTTTTTTCTATAGCGTTTTGTGCATATTGTTCGATATCATTCCATAGTACGCCAATTGAGATGCCTTATTGCCCTCCTAATTGATGGTCGATGTAGTGACCTTAAACCATGCATGGTTCCTAATGCAAAACCTTTGTACTATGTTCTCAAATGTTGCTTAATAATCAATAATCAATGAGTGACCATAAAATTGTAAATAATGGAAACGATCCATGACCAAAAGCATATAGGTTTTGGGGCCAACATTCCCAACATTTTGTTTTATATTAGTTGATTCTCTTTTGTCTCTTGCAAAAAGGACTAGCTTTGAGTCCTCTTTGGCTCCATAAAGACATGGCAACCACGCATTCGTATCTTATTATAATGTTATTTTCTTGTTATTCCAAGAAAGATGTCGATTTCAACATAGTTTCTCTAGAGTTAATCAGGGTCTTGTTCTCCAATCTAGTCTGTAGAAATGTTGGAGCTATCGGTCCCTAGGCCCCATTGCTAGAAAAGCTCAGATTCAAAACCGTACATGAAGCTTCCGCTTCATACATCTACTCTAGAGATGGAGGTAGGCCCAGCCCAATTCAGGCTTGGGCGGTTAAAGTTGTTGTACACGACGTCATAATAAAAGAATGAAGAAAATGATGTTTAAGAAATAAGTAATGAGGAAAGGAACATCTACAAATTTTCTCCTAGCTAATACAAGAAGAAAGACATGGACGGTTTACTCATGTAAACCAATACAAAAGACAATAAAGGAAAGAAATGAAGCAGAAACTCAAACTCAAGATCTCGTATCACCGGTTTTCTCAAATTCTTTGAGAAACTTATAGAATTTGTGAAAGAGTTTTAATAATTCAATACTTTAAGTAAAGATCGAGCCAAGGGAAAATTTCGCTTTACAAAACAAAAAATCATTCCTAAGAAGAACCTAGGCAACTGGCTCGAAAGCGGTGCCATCCATTTTTGAATGTGAAAGGACACCATCCTGGTTTTAGATGAAAGAAAGGAGGCCTTTCCTTGTAGGAGTAGCTTCATAACGATTTTAAATAATTTGAGACGACCAAGGCCTCTCAAAAGATTCTGACAAAAGAAGATTCTAACAAACAAACATTTGTATTAAGCCTGTTATCATCTATGGAACTGCAAACTTGGTTTCTTCAAGGAGAATGAAGCCAAGTCCCTCCTTAAAAGAGAGATGAACAGAACGACTTAGATATTGGTAAGCATTCCCTCGCCGGGCTCAATTTTGACTTTCTAGTCTCGTTCCCTTTAATTGCACAAAATAAGGAAAACAAGGGATCAAGCGACAGGGAAGTGACGGTGAAGCAGGAGGATCAGAGTCAAATGATACAGAGTTATCAGATGACACGTTGATAGCGCTGAAATACTTTAAGTTAGCAGATCAGCACAGTCAGGAATCCAACTCTAAGAAAGGTTGACACTATTTTGATCATAATTTTTGATCCGTTTAGAGTTTCAGAACCTATAATATATCATATCGAAACTCTCGACGATCTCTACAAGATTCACACCCTATGATAGTGAAAGGCACTGTTTAAAGCAAAAAAAGGCTTGGAAACGTGTGTTTGGGCCTTCCGAAGTTTTTTTCTCAATTTTGAGTTTATTTGGATTTTTTCGTAATTTAATTATTTCTTGCGTAATTAGGGTTTTCAGCTTATTGTTTAGTATTTAAAGAATGTTTTCCTATGTTTTAGGGTTAACTATCATTATTCTAAGTTTATTAAAATTGTGGCTGCTTAGTCAGTTCTTTTTGGCCGATTCTCTTGTGTTCTTTTCTGTGAATTATTTGTTTAACTAGCCTGTAGAATAATCGATATTTTGTTCGGTTTCAGTTTGTATCAGAGCTTCAACATCTTCTTGGGGTGAGATTTCATCAGTTCAATGGCTAGTGGTTATGGTCGTCGTGGGCAGGTTCCGAACGAGGAAGTCCTGCATCGTGATCGTAGCGTTCAGGATGTAATAATTGAGGATTTGCAGAGGCAAATTGCAGAGTTAACCAG